TCCGTTCCTTGTAAACCTTACGTTCTTAGGAAACTCCTGGCCCTGTGACTCTGTGACAGCCATGTTTCTTGGAGTCCCTTAGCACTTTGCAGAAGCGATTCTCAAGATCCTAGTCCTCTCGGGCCCCAGGCGACCTCTTCATTGCCCTCTGCTAACAGACAGCACCCCTCCCCCACCACAGGTCTGCAGTGCCGCTCAGATGCTGAGGATGAGTGCCGTGGGCAGGAGGCTGACGGCAAGAAGATCTGCTGGCAGGCAGCCATCTTCAAAGTGGGGGATGACTGCCGACAGGTGACAGGGCTGGCCTTATTGAGGTGTCAGGGCCTCTCTTATTTAGGCACTCTCCCTAGTGACACCAAAGAGCCCCATGCTGTGAAACGTGACCCTCGTCTTCACTCTATGACTCAGGTGCTGTGGCGCCCTTAGAGCAGACCCAGAACCCTCCTCCCAGCGCCACCCTGCGCCATTAGTGCCAAAGGAGGGAGGGCCTCACTCACACGTCCTCTGGGCAATTCTGTGACAGCCCCACCTGGGTGGGCAGTGAGGCTGCAGCCTGCCCCTCCCTTGCCGTGTGAACCTCAAGGGCCACCAGTCCCTGAGTGGTCCGGGGCTGAGGGAGGACCCTGACTGCATCCTGTGCCTTCTCCGGTCCAGGACATGTTAGCCCTGCAGATCATCGACCTCTTCAAGAACATCTTCCAGCTGGTTGGCCTGGACCTCTTCGTTTTTCCTTACCGGGTGGTAGCCACTGCCCCTGGGGTGAGTTCCCAGAGCATGACGGGCAAAGAGATCACCAGCCATGCCACAGTTCCCACCTAACTGTCCCTTCCCCCTCCCCTTCCTAGTGTGGGGTGATTGAGTGCATACCGGACTGCACCTCCCGAGACCAGCTGGGCCGCCAAACTGACTTCGGCATGTACGACTACTTCACACGCCAGTATGGGGACGAGTCCACCCTAGCCTTCCAGCAGGTAGTTGGCCCCTGGGCCTCCGCTCGCTGTCTGCCTCTGTCTTCCTCTGTCAGGAGCCCATCAGCCCCCCAGTGTCTCAGAGGCCTAGAGCCACAGGGTGCAGGAAGGGCTGCTGCCTGCTCCACAGCGGGGCCCCTGCTGTGGCTCTGCCTCCAAGGTGGGGCGCAGAGTGAGACCACAGCCCTCTCCACACAGGCGCGCTACAACTTCATCCGAAGCATGGCGGCCTACAGCCTCCTGCTCTTCCTGCTGCAGATCAAGGACAGGCACAATGGCAACATCATGCTGGACAAGAAGGGCCACATCATCCACATCGGTCAGCCGGGCTGCGCCACCCACTCTCCCTTCCCCACTTAGAGCGCAGTGTGCCCAGAGCCCCGGCTAGAGTCCTGTAGAGTAGCCAGCCCTCGGGGCAGCCACGCTGCTGGTAGACGGGAAAGCCCGCCCGTGGGGTGGCTCTGCTTCCTTCCTCGCCCACTTCTGGCCATGTGTGGCCGAGCCCTCCTCTGCAGGAACTAACCCACCCGACCTCACGCGGGCCCCGGTTCCAGGCAGCCTCTTGGGATTTTGCAGACTTTGGCTTCATGTTTGAGAGCTCCCCGGGCGGCAACCTTGGCTGGGAACCCGACATCAAGCTGACAGATGAGATGGTGATGATTATGGGGGGCAAGATGGAAGCCACACCCTTCAAGTGGTTCATGGAGATGTGTGTCCGAGGTTACCTGGCTGTGCGGTGAGCCCGTGGGCAATGTGGGGGCATCAAGGTGGGAAAGAAAATCCATGCGCCCTGGAGGGAATCAGGTGGCTGACGGACACCTGTGACTCCAGCTCCAGGACCCGCTGCCCACTCCGGCCTCTTGAGGCACCCGCACACATCCATGCATACACTCAAACACAGGGACACACATGAATTGTGTTTGGAGACGTGCATGGCCTCACTGTGTAGCTCTGGCTGTAGAGATGGCTCAGCCATCTCTTTAATAAGGCAAGATTCACAACCCAAAACTTTTTGTTTGTTTTTCTTTTTCTTCTTTTTTTTTTTTTTTCCGAGACAGGGTTTCTCTGTGTAGCTTTGCGCCTTTCCTGGAACTCGCTTTGTAAACCAGGCTAGCCTTGAACTCACAGAGATCTGCCTGTGATTAAAGGCATGCGCCACCACTGCCCAGCTTTTGTTTGTTCTTCAAGGCAGGGTTTCTCTGCGTAACAGCACTGGCTGTCCTGGAACTCACTTTTAGACCAGGCTGGCCTCAAACTCACAGAGATCCACCTGCCTCTGCCTCCCAAGTGCTGGGATTAAAGGTGTGCGCCACCACTGCCTGGTGATAAATCTTTAGAAGGTGCCTTCTGGTCACCTACATTTGTGAGCGACTTCCAGTCTGACGTGCCAGCCACATTCTGTAGTCCCCCATAGCTGACATCATCATCTGCCAGCACCCTTCAGCCTGGCCCCCCGACTTCCTGGCCACCCCTTCACCGTAGCCCCACACCTCCAAAGCTACATGGTAGAGATTGGCACCAACTAGGTGTTGATGGAGTATTACTTTGCCACATCCCACATGCGACTGTGGTTAACACCAAACAGCATCCTTGAAACCACAGCTGGAAGCCTGGAGTACTGGGGACGGGAAGGACTGCGTGAGCTTGGCTGAGGGCGGCGGGCAGCCTGGGGGAAAGTGACAGGTGGGTCACGAGACTGAGCCGGTCCCTGCTCAAGCTGGCCTTATCCCCCGCTTGCTGTCTCCACAGGCCTTACATGGATGCAGTCGTCTCCCTAGTCACGCTCATGTTGGACACAGGCTTGCCCTGTTTCCGAGGCCAGACAATCAAGCTTTTGAAGTAGGTGCCATTGGGGAAGGGCTGTCCATGTGCTGGGGCTCCACCTAGAAACCTTTTATGTACGCTTAGAACCACAAAGCAGACAGGGCTCCTGGAATAGCAAGATGGCCTTGAGCTCCCCAAGTGGCCTATCAGTTTCTGGAAAGGGTCAGGGACCACACTAGGCCACACCAGAAGGGACCTGGCCGGAACAGATTGCCACAAATGCTCTTTCATCTCTCCCAGACACAGGTTCAGCCCTAACATGACAGAGCGAGAAGCGGCGAACTTTATCATGAAGGTCATCCAGAGCTGTTTCCTCAGCAACAGGCAAGTCACCCGCCATTCCTGAGCCTTCCCGAGGGCGCGCATGGGGGACGGGCTCCCAGGAGGTGGTCTTCACGCGCTCACTTGGCCTTTCAGGAGCCGGACCTACGACATGATCCAGTACTACCAGAACGACATCCCCTACTGATGGGCCGGCAGCTGACGCCTCGGCTGCCCCAGCAGCTCATACTGTTAGCACAGCCTGGGCACGGGCTGGACCCACCTGCAGCTTCGGTTCCAGAGCCTGACACGCGTGTGGTGGTGCTGTGTGCACAGGTGTGAGTCTTGTTTGCACTGGACACATCCCTACTTGTTCGCCTGTCTTACTACATAGGTACATGAAGTATTTTCTTGTGTAAACTTGGAGAAAATAAAAATCCCAAAATGTGCTGCATTTGCTTGGTCAGCTAGCCTCGAGTCTGGCCTGTGGTTGAAGCTGCTCTTGACTTCCTGATCCTTCAAGTCACACCTAACTTAAGGAGTCTGGTTTGGGTGCTGGGGAGCAACCCAGGGCCTGTGCATGGGCAAACACCGCACCCTGGTTGTACAGCCCCAGGCTGTGACCACCAGGACTAATGCCTCAGGCATCTCCAAGGGGAGACTTAACTAGGCTGGCCTGTGTCTCCACATCTCTGTAGTTTGGTGGTTAAAGTTCTTGCCTGACATGCACAAGGCCCATCTCCAACAGCCCCCAAAATGAAAGTGTCAGTCAGTAGACAGGAGAGGACTTTGTAGGGCAAGAATGAAACTGAGAAATAAAAGTGAGCCTAAGAGTGGTAGCCCAGGACTGGAGAAATGGCTCAAAGGTTAAGAGCGCTGGCTGTTCTTGCAGAGGTCCTGAGTTCAATTCCCAGCACCCACATGGTGGCTCACAACCATCTGTAATGAGATCTGGTGCCCTCTTCTGGCCTGCAGGGATATGTGCAGGCAGAATACTGTGTACATAATAAATAAATAAATAAATAAATAAATAAATAAATAAATAAATAAATAAATAAATAAATCTTTTTAAAAAAAAAAGAGTAGCAGCCCGGGCCTGTGACCTGGGCCACTCCCAGGCTTGCTTTTTGTTTGGTTTTGGTTTGTTGTTTTTCTAGACAGGGTTTCTCTGTGTTCATAGAACTCTCTCTGTAGACCAGGCTGGCCTCTGCCTCCTGAGTGCTGAGATTAAAGGTGTGCGACACCGCCTGCTGGTTTTGGTTTTTGTAAGATTATTTATGTGTGAGTATCTGCATGTAGTTTGTGCACCGTGGCCATACCTGGTGCTCGGTGAGGGGGCCGGAAGAGGGCATCAGATCCCCGGAACAGTTACAGGATGTTGTCAAACTGTGTTTTCTCCTGAATACTGGAAACTGAACCCAGTGCAGCAAATGGGGACTGGAGAGATGGCTCAGTGGTTAAGAGCACTGACTGTTCTTCCAGAGGACCCGGGTTCAATTTTCAACACCCTTATGGCAGCTCACAACTGTCTTTAACTACCAGATCTGACGCCCTCACACAGACACGCATGCAGGCAGAACACCAATGCACATAAAATAAATTTTAAAAATTTAAAGAAAAAAAGAGCAGCAAAATGCCCTTAACCATTAACCCTCTCTCCAGCCACCCCGCTTAGTTTCCTGAGACAGTCTCCCGATTTCCGGAGCTCACTCACATGCCCATCTCTACCTCCCCAGCACTGGGGTCATGGACACCACCACCACATCCAGCTTTTTTACATGGGTTCTTAGGATCAAGACAGCCATGGCCCCAGCCGAGGAGCTGAAGACTCCAGTGGATAGAACTAATAGGCTGCTGGATGTGGTTAACCTTAACTACAGCAGGTGCTTTCTCTGTGTTCATCTTTATAGACTATTTTGTCGGCCATTAAGCGAGTCGCCAAAAAACTTATCAGAAAAGGTGTTTATTTAAACGCCATGGTGATAGCTCAGCTCTCACAAATGCTTAGTCCGGTCCCCAGGACAGAATAAAGGACACCTGGTGGCTGGCTCATGGCTGCAATCCACACACTCGCTATGTGGAGGCATAGACCCCACCTCCAAACAAGTAGTTTGAAGCTTATATGCCTAGGGTCAAAGTTCAACCCAGATTCGTCTCCGCTAAGCAGGACATCCCTCCTATACCAGCACCATCAGTGAGCTTAGATGCTGTGAGGAAGTTTGGGTTTGACGAACTCGAACCTGCCCAGAGGGAACCCCAATGTTGGGGGGATTTGGGATAACTGCGCATCCCGGGAAAATAATCCACACACACGGAGGGGACCTGACAGGCCACCATCCATCCTGCCCAAAGTTCAGGCTCACAGTAGCAAACGGCTCCCTAGGGGATCAGGCTGGCGCTTGGCAGCGAGGGCTGTGAGGAAGGACAGCCTGGGCACCCGAGCAGCTCCACTGCGGACAGGTACCCCCGCGCCCAGGTGACAAGGGGTCGCTGGGCCATAGGAACACACGAGCTCCCCCCCCCGCCCCTTTCACACAGGCAGGCACCCCAGAAACCACAAAGGAGACAGAGGTGTAGGCGGCCGAAGCCCGCGTGATGCTCGCTCTAGGCTGGCAGCAGTCCGCGTGGGCGCAATTCAAGCAAAGGCGACAGCGTGTAGCGCAGCCGCCGGAAGACCGCGTCCGAGCCAAGACTACTGGACAGCCCCGGGCCCACGGTGTCGGGCTTTGCCAGCGCCACGTAGAGCAGCGGCAGCGCCAGGAAGCCCAGCGGGAGCAGCAACAGCGTCTGCAGTGCGCTCAGCGCCCATAGCCTGAGGAACCAGCAACGCACGCGTGGGTGGTGGCTCCGAGACCCCGAACCCGGACCGCCGGACCCCCGCTAGCCACTCACCTGATGCTCCCCGCGCCCGCACCGCGGAACAGCCGCTTTTCCTGCAGAGAAAGGGCCGCATCCAGCTGTGCGCCAGGGCCGCGGCCAGGCTCTAGCCAAGTCTCTCCCCAAGAGAGCGGGTCCCCCTAGCGCGTGGGTCCCAGCTCCAGCCCGCGCCCCGGCCCGCGCTCACACAGTCAGCCCTGGCCACCTCCTCCATGAGTGAGCCCGCGCAGTCCTGCACCGGACGAGGCTGCAAGTTCCACCTGCAGGACAGGCACGGAGATGGGCCACCGGCCGGCTCAGCGCTGCCCTGCCGTCCTCCCTAACCTCAGCCCTTACGGTTCCGAGCCACCTCCTCGCGTAGCATCCAGCGCAGCCGCGGCCTCCATCACCTTCCCCTGCAGCTCCTGGAGGGGGGCAACAGGGACTCAGGGCGGAGGATACGGTCGGCCGCGGATCAGCGGACGAGGCCGCGGGGCATTGGGAAGTGACCGGTTCTCAGAACCGCGGGGCCGCACCTGCAGGACTCCACTCTGCTCCTGGAAGCTGGCCCAGGCCTCTTCCGTACGCTGCGCGCTCTAGAAGCCGGCAGAGGGTGGGGGGACCCCTTGGATAAGCATCACCAGGACACGCTCTCCCCACGAGCCCTCCCCTCAGAGGCCAGCGCCGTTCGCACCTGCCGCAGGCCCTCTGCCTGCATGGTGAATTTGGCCTCTGCCAGCTCCAGGTGCTTCTTCGGGAGGATCCAAGTGAAGTCAAGAACCTGCAAGCCTCGCACACCGCTGTGCCCAGGCTTGGTCCCTAGCCTTGGGGTCCGATGCTCCACCCACGCCAGCGCGCGGCCCCGCCCACAGCCCCGCCCACGTACCTGCAGTGCCAGAAGCTGAGTCCCCAGTTGCTGATCTGCTCGCTGTTGACTCAGCTGTTCTCCTCCATAGTAGAAAAGCTGGGAACGGAGCGTGTGAGTGCCTGGCTTACGGGACTTGGGGGCGAGGACGTGACCTGAGACCCTCTGTACGTACCTGGCTGGACAGCTCCTCCCACTGTTCCTGCAGCTTCCGATTGTGTTGCTCCTGCGGACAGGGTCCAGGCTGTGTCTATGCCTCTCCGCCCGCCTCGCCACCCCGGGCCCCGCCTCCTGCTCTTGCCCGCACCAGGTCCAGCCGGTGCTGCTCCGCCGCCTCCAGCAGCCCACGAGCCCGCTCCGCGCGCTCCCGCGCCGCCTCGCGCGCCTCCCCTCGCATAGCCCGCGACGCTTGGCTTCGTCTCCGCTGCAGGCTGCCGGGCGGGGCAAATTGGCCAATGGTGAAAGTCGGGCGCAGGATCCTCTGGGAAGGGCCCCCGCCAGCCTGGGAGTTCCGGGCTGAGCTCGCACCGCCCGGGGCCGAGACTGCCCACAAGCCTGCCCTGGGGCCTCGGTGCCCTCGCACCTGCGCTCCCGCTCGCGCAGCTCGTCCAGGCGCCCGGTGAGGCTCTCGCTCTCGGCCTCCAGCCCACGCACCAGCTCCTCCAGCTCCTGCTTCCGCAGTCGGCCATCGCGGTTGTCCTTCTGCAGCTGCAGCAGCTGCTCCTGCGGCTCAGCCATGGCTCCAGCTCTCTGCCCGGCCTCCGCCGCCTGGGCGGTCCGGTGGCCCGCGTCACAATGGGCAGCAGGGGGCGCCAGAGCCCGACCCGACAGGGGTCAGGCCAGTCAATTCAGGTATAGACATTTGATCACTGCGGGACTTGGTGGCCCAGTCTACAGAGATCAGAAGTTGAAGGTCATCCTTTGCTACATATCGAATTTGAGGCTAGCAAGGCTACATATGGACCTGTCTCAAAATACACACAAAAATATCAAATCACGATCGGACCGATAACAAGTTGATAAAAGGAAAGACCAGACTTGACAGTTCATGCCTGTCATCCCAGAAGTCCAGAGGCTGAGGCAACAGGGTCATCACCTAGAGTTGAAGGTCAGCATAGCTACACAGCAAGAAGATCCTGACTGAAAAAAAAAAGAAACTGAACTACCACCGTAACTCTAATTGCGGGATAAATCAGGTGTACCTCCCCTTAGATTCTGAGTGACCACACAAGGGAATACTAGAATTTTGAGAAAAACGTTTAAAATTAAGTTCCTTTAATTCCCACCCCCTGTGTTGGAACAATGATGACTTTGATGTGGTCTCAGTGGTTGGACTTTGGTTCACACTGCGCCTTGCCGTGAGGGGTGACAGGACAGTGAAGGGGGGCGTCTGAGATGCTAGAATGCCATGGCATTCTCTTTTCTCCATGTTTTTAGCTCTAGAAAACCCATATTGATGGGGCTTGTTGAGTGGTCTGGGTAGGAAGAGGATGATTGAGTTTTGTGATCTGGGGGCTTCTGTGAGCACTGGGTCTCACACTGTAGCCAGCCTGGTCTTGAACTCAAGCCTATCCCCCTGCCTCCATCTCCCTGGTACTGGTTTACACTCAGTTCAATAAAGTTTTCCTACAATTTGTTTTTACTTACGTTTATGTTGTGTGCTGTTATGTACCACGTGTGCGGGAGCCTCAGAAGGACCTCTGATCCTCTGGAGCTAGAGTTTGAGGTAGTTGTGAGCCCAGTTGGGTGCTGGGAACTAAATTTAGGGCCTCTGGAAGGGCAGCAAAGTGCTCTTAACTGAACACTGTGGCTTTTCACATTCTACGGTGATCCAGTTCTTTACAGAGATTTTAAGAAGCTAATTTCTTTAATAATTTGGAGGATAGACATCCCTGATGCTGTAATGAATATTTAATGAAGCATCATAGCCTCATTAGGGAGGTTGAGGGAGGGATTTTGCTGCAAATTCGAAGCCAGCCTGGACTTCAACTACAAAGGCTCAAACAAAACCTAACAATGAATAGATTTATTTATTTATTTATTCATTTATTCATTCATTCCTTCCTTCCTTCCTTTCTTTTTTTTTTTTAAGTGGGCTGGGGATACTGCTTGGTTGGTAGAACCTTTGCATACACAAGGAGTTAGGTCCATTCCCCAGTATCACACACACACTCAAATCAATTATTTATTTAAAGGGAAGGCTGTGTTATTTGATAGCTCTGGCTAACCTGGAACTCTCTTGCTGTCTGCAGTGTGCCTGCCTAGAAATCCAAAACCTTCAGGTACCATCAGCACATGTCAGATTTCCAGGACAGGGTGCTGTGTGTCATGTCTATACAAACAGTTCAAAACTCCAAGTCTCTGAAACCCATGGCCCCAGGCATTTGGGAGAAAGTGTTTGAAGACTTGGTTTTTGTATTTGCTGTGTTGGGGATGGAGACAGAGCCTGGCAGACTGTGGTGCCTTCTCCCTCTGAGACCCTAGGTCTTCAGTGCTCCAGTGAGACTCCTCCCTCAGCCATCGCCCAGGCCGCAGGGTCTCTCCTTCCTCTTAGCCTTTGGCCGGCCGCCTCAGCATCAGGCTCTCAGCAAGCACACCTGCAGTCTCAGCAGCTACTCGGCTTTACTGATCTAGGACGAGTTCTCCTGTTTTGTTCTCTTTTATTCTCTTTGAGACAGGGTGTCATAGAGTTCAGGCTGACCTGAAACTCAACTGCAGCCATGGATGAGCTGGGCCTCCTTACCCTCTCCCATCTCCCTGCCCAAGTGCTGAGACCACAGACTGAACCTCTGTGCCTGGCCTTTTCTTATAATCGGTGTTTGTTGCTTCTATAATATAATAATTTCTTGGCCGGACGGTGGTGGTGCACACCTTTAATCCCAGCACTCGGGAGGCAGAGCCAGGCGGATCTTTGTGAGTTCAAGGCCAGCCTGGTCTACAGAGCGAGATCCAGGAAAGGCTCCAAGCTTTTCAAAACCCTGTCTCGGAAAAACCAAAACCAAAACAAACAAACAAACAAACAAAAAAACCCAAAATAATAATAATAATAATTTCTTGCTAAGTAACCTTGGCTTGTCTGTAGCCCTAGTTGACCTCCAAACTGTGGCAATCTTGTTTTTGTATCCAAAGGCTTGTACCACCATCCCTGGCTAAAAACTGGCAGAAGAAAAGCACTGTACTATGTTAAAAAGGTGAAAGTCAAGGCAAGATAAACAAAATTAGGACATGGGAAAGGAAAGGAGCCTCCACCCCCATCCTGGAGTCTCTTACCAGCGTCAACATTTGGTGTGGAGGATGTCGTCTACAGACACTGGATGCTAACATGGCAATGAATAGGCTTAAGGCCTGAATGTGTGTGACCTTGCATAGGGTATTCACACACACACACACACACACACACACACACACACACACACAGAGGCACGCATGCACGCACTTCTGAGACTCAAACATGACTATTAACTTTGCATCCCTGTTTTAGCAGTAATCCGAATGGGTCCCCTCTGAGACCTCCCTGGGATCTCTGATCTCAGCTCCTGGGCCAACCTTTGAAGATAACAGCTTCGGTCTTGCCTGTGACCATCGCAAAGAGTAACATTCAACTCCACTTTAAAGAGCCAAGGCAGTGGTGGAGCACGCCTTTAGTCCCAGCACTTGGGAGGCGGAGGCAGGTGGATCTCTGTGAGTTCGAGGCCAGTCTGGGCTACCAAGTGAGTTCCAGGACAGGCACCAAAGCTACACAGAGAAACCCTGTCTCGAAAAACAAACAAACAAAAGTCTCAGGAAGTCCCCGAGGCTGACCAGATGCTCGAGACCCTTCTTCCTGGGAGACAGAGAGGTTCTGACTCTGAAGAGGTTCTGACTAACGGGGCTTCCTAGAACCCTTGTCTGTGCCAAGCTGCCTGCAGGCTGTGGGCAGGTCTTCAGCTCCCTGGGGGTTTGGGGGGGGGTAACCCAAATAAAAGCATTGGCTCCACAACTGCTTCAGCGCCTTGGGCTTTGGTGGTGTGTATCCGTACTGTAGTTGGTCATCGGTTTTCCTATCTGGGGTCAGAAGACTTTGTTTGTTCTCATTTCCCAAGGAACAAGTCCCACCAGAGACGCCCACATCCACACTTGGTTATGTCTTGCTTCTTTGAGGAGTCCACATCTGTGCTCTGGGGTGAGCCATTTCTTCTGAGCATCTCACCATGTCTCACCCCTCATGCTTCAGGTCTGAATTATCTTAGGCTAGTGACATGCTCATCAGACAAGCCCAGTAAACAGAGTTCAATCTATAGACCGCAGTGAAAGGAAAGCATGCTGGAGTTGTCCTCTGACCTCTGCACAGGGAGGTCACGGCACAAGTGTGCTACTCTCAACATCAGACACACAAAAACAGTGTCATTTTATTTTATGCGTGTGGGTGTTTTACCAGGACGTCCATGCACCACGTGCATGCAGTACCCGTGGAGGCCAGAAGAGGGCATCAGCTCTCTTAAAATGAGTTACAGATTGTTTTGAGCTGTGGGTGCTGGGAATCCAACTCCTCTGGGGAAGGGCTCATAACTGCCGGGCCATCTCCCCAGCCCCCAAAACGTTTAGTGAAACCTCAAGCCTGCTTTACACTGAGCAATCTTGCAATACTTTTCTGTGTCAAATTCCAGAGTCTATGGCCTGAGGTCCCTAAAAGCTGAATGGCAACTCCTGAGACTGCTGTGACAGAGAAGTGGTCCTCGTCCTCACCTCCCTTGACAAAAGCTATACAAGAAGACATCAGCTACCTAAGGGCTTGGCTGGCTGACCTTTGCCCACAACTTAGGAAATCTTGGCCTCTCCCTGGACACAGACACTTTATACTCAGGGACAGAAACAGGCTGTAAAATACTGCTCTTTGCTGGCCAGATCTCCTGGTCCTAGGCTCACCTGGAGAGGGTGAAGGATGGCCAGAAAAGGGCATCAGATCTCCTAAAATGAGTTACAGGTTGTTTTGAGCTGTGAGTGCTGGGAATCCAACCAAGCTCAGCGTAAAGGGGACTTGAGGTTTTACCAAACATTTTGGGGGTCTGGGAGATGGCTCCACAGTTATGATGACCTAAGGGTTTCTCTGTGCTACCCAGGGACCATCTCCTGCCTGGGAGGGGGTGGGGTCAGTGCCCCAGTGAGTACTATGCACGAGGCTATCGTTGACAGGGAAATGGCCAGTGCTTACCTCCTAACGGGACACTCACCTATTTGCTCTCTGGACATTTCCTCGGGGCTCTCTCATGCCTTCTCTACCCCTCACCCAAGGTCCAAAACTCTCTCTCCACCATGACAAACATTCAGTTCCACGAGGCTCCCCAGGACAGCTTCTGCAGATCCTGCACAGGCCCCAGATCTCCCTTTGCTGGTCCTGTTCTGATGCCTCCAAGTTTCATGCGCAGCCTTTACAATTCCAGGTCCACATGAGAGACCTATCTCCCAGACTTGTCGGTTATGACTGGGAAGCCCCCTGCCTCGGCCCAGCGTGACTTGGCTACTGTTCGCCCAACGTGGGGAGATCCACTTGTCCCCATGAACGAGGAGGAGGAGGAGGAGGAGGTCTGGGGGACATGGTCTTGAAGACAGTGCCACCCACTGGACACTGGGGGAGAAAGGCTGCCTTGTGCCACCCACTCTGACCACCTTCACCGCCACATCTTCAGACTGGATCACTCCAGACTCCCCAAGGTCCACTTCCCCTGCCCATCTCCCTACTAAACCTTAAACCTCCATGGCTGACTTCACAAAACACAAGTTCAAATCAGTCCTCGCTGGCTGCAAGGCACACAAAGCTGCCACCTGTTGCTCCTCAGGCATTACCTGCCAGAGGCCCCTGCTCCTCCCTCTCCCCGGCACCCCAAATACAAC